AATTAATAATTATATACTATCATATTATAATAATTATTTAAAAAAACAAACGAGCGAGCCTTACAGTAGTCGCGTATGATGTGTAATATTTAAAACCTCACCTTGTATTTGTAAAAAAAGAAATAAAACCTACTACAAAAAGAATAAGCCATTTGAACATTACGTTCTAAAATCAAATCAAATAGCGCGCCCTTCGCGATTTCCTATTATACACTTCCGTCCCATTTCACGAAATCACTCCCACAAATTGCAGGAAAGCGAGAGAAAGATGTTACACATTAAAAAAACGGGAATAAAATCAATTAAGATTTTTGTCCAACGGATTTTCAAAGTGCACTACATCTAATAAAAAAATTGGAGTCTGCCGAATACTCACTACCACCATCCATACAAATTAAAACCGTCTCCTTTGTTTAATCGACTGCTGTTAACATTTGTTTCTCAATTCTGCATCGGGACTTCCCTCGGTAACAGAGTCAATAAAAGAAAGTTTACTTTTTAGAGTGCTGGGTTGGCTGGTCTATCAAGTCAACATAAGCTCCAAAAAATATCGAGTAATCGAAAAAGTATCGAATCTTACTCGGCATCGTATTCAAAAGGATCGAGTGATGATATACTTAGTATCGTAACAAAAGTATCGGTTTTAGTCAGTTATCGATACTTTTTCCGGTCTCCGGAAATCTCCGGTGGGAGACCTTGTACTAAGAAGGACTGACAAAAAACTTATCAAGGGCTGCTTTTTTTCCCCTGTGTTATTATTATAAACATAGACGTCAAATTGAAAAATAACTTCAATATGAGATCAATGAGATCATCCATGAAGTCACCTTCCATTACATGATATGGACGATACAGTTAATAAAATAGTCGTTTAAACACACAAATATTGAGAATGCTTTTTAAAGTTGTATTATGTATATGTTGTATTAAAGTTTAATTCTAGAATAAATAATAAGTAGCACGGAGAACACTCATTTCAACTGGTAGCGCCCATGGACGAATAATTTTCGCTAAATAGGGTAGCACAAGACGCATGAACGCGTCATCGCTTCACTCAACCATATTTTAGGGTATGTAACGTCACGCCTCACACGGCACCACTGCAAAGATTTTAAAGATAGCATGATATAATTCTTACCTTGTATCAAAAAAGGACATTCAACATCAGCCTATTAATGTTCTCACTATTGGAGCACAGACCTTCCCTATGGATAGAATAGGAAGATTGGGTCATGACCCACCACGCGGGTACAGTGCGGATTGGTGGGTGCTATTCACTGCAGATTTAGTCAGGCCCAATGGCTTAACATGTCTTCTGAAGTATAGAGGAGCTCAGGATAGTAAATTTTTGGACTGAAAAATTCAACCATCCAACGACCGACCACTGTAAGAATTGCTTAACGTCAACGTTCGCAGCCGAAACTCGCTAACCATTTGTGCCATAGAACTCTTTAGAAGCAAAAAAGGACATTAATATTATTCATTGTACATATAGGAGACAAAGGCTACTTATTACTCATAAGAATCTTCATAAGGTTAGTCTTAAATTTGGCACAGAAGAATCCGAAATATTTCTTGTGGAACTATATTGAAGAGTGCTTGTTTTATAATACCTATAAATTAAACTCTCGACTTCTGAATCCTGAAAAATGGTTAGGACAAGTTTGTTCTTATTTCTTGTGTTAAGTAGATTTTTACGTTATTTTACGAAGATAGTGATTTATACAAAACATCCAAAATTCTGTCCCTTAAAATTTACGGCCTATAGTGTGTGAGTGTAAAATGTGATAAAACGTGAAAAGGACAGGTTATTTTTGTGACTAAAAATAAATTTGTTTTTGAACCAGTATCATATGTATGTCTATAATATAACTTTCATTCTGATAGAGAAGATGGTCCTACGCAAACAAAAAAATATATTAAAAGCTTGATATATATATTTTTTAAAGGTTTTCATTTAAAAAAAATATTTTAAAGTCACCATTTTTTCATGATAATTTGTACAACGTTTCAAGGCAAAATATTATTTAATATCATCTCTTAACGATTAAATAATCATTTTTTTCTTATTTAAAATGTTTCTTAACAAATAATAAATAAACTTACAATTACTTGTGGCAGAACTCCAGCCCATCGCTACCTGCTTGGCCTTCTCCAGGCGCTTGGCTGCCTCCACGGGGACCGATGCAAAGGCCGCACCAGTCCCCCGAGCCCCCGTATGTAACTTGCCCACCTTTATCTGGTGGGCAGGGCACTTTCGCCAGCGCCTGGCACACATCGTCGGCACTTATCGAGTCGTCGATTCCGACGACTAGGACCTCCGCCGTTTTTGGGGGCCGGGTCACTTTGGCCACATCGCCCAGGGCCTCCCCGATCCTTGTGGCCAGCGTGTCGGCCTGCTCCGGGGAGGTTTACTTTGGGAGCTCTATGATACGAACCCCCGTGATGCCCGTGCGGAACTTCGCTGGGCCTATGCCCAGGTCTGCGAAGCTGACAATGGACTTGGCCTGGGCGATAGCCTGACCATACGTGAGGCCGTTCTGTATGGCCTCGAGCTTCAAGGCCAGTACTACGGCCAGTGTTTTGGAGCCCGCAGCGCCTTCTTTTTCTTTTTTTTTTTGAGCTGAAGCCTGCTTGGCCGCCTTCTTGGCCTTCTTCCCCTTCTGGCCCTTGGTAACCAGGACCCACTCTTTGTCCTGGCCGGGCCCCACTGCCTCACCCGAGATGGAAGGGGCTAGCGCCTCCTTTTTCTTTTTGGGGCCCTTTGTTTTGGGGGCCTGCTGCGGCGAGGGCGGCGGAGGCGCCATAGGCTGCCAAATCAGATTTACCCTATCGTTAAATAGAGTACGAGTTATTCCCGAAAAGCGGGACTGATCCTGTCCCGCGCGGGACATTTAATTTGGTTTTAAAAATCGGGACGTCTAGCAACGCTGCCTAAAACCCTCTTTACCCGCTTACATCTGTCTCTCACAAAACTTCGGTTGGCTGGAAGAGATCTCTGTTAGAGATAAGCTTTACTTTACTCACATTTCTTTATGTTTGTCTCATTTTTATTGTGTATAATAACAAGTAGCTATGACAAAGTTAGATTCAAACGCATCCTAATTAAAACGACATGACATGATCATAGTTGATTTTATGAAATATTTTAAACATTTAACTGCTAGATGTTAGAGTAGATTAGATATTTTTATTGTAGTAAAATTTTCTTTTGATTACAAAAACAGCATGATTATTGAAAGGCACAAAAACTTGTGGGTGTGGGTTACCTACAATGCGAAGAGATGGCGCTGCCTTGCAGCCTAAGGAAGGCTACAAAGAATTCGACACGGCCGTCAAGGCCGCGGTAGCATAATTGGTCAGTGCATTCGCCCGGATAGCGAAAGATGCGGGCTCAAGTCCCGTCTGCTGCCTGGTCCGCGTGGATTTTTTTCCAGTAATATTTTCTTTCAATTTAAACATCGAGCAGTTACATGCTTAAAAAAAATATTATGGGCACTTCTTGAATTTGTTTACATATTGTGTCTCGTCTTTTATCTACAATTGTAATAAGTGTGTCTTTCCGTTTGCACCTCGCAATATGTATGTGATCTGACTCACGTAGCGTAGTACTAAAGTAAATAAGGGATAAAGAGACCATGCATTGAGGCATTCATATATTCTTGCTCGAATATTGTAAGAAAAAGTTTTACATTTGGAAATAAAACGTGAGAGATATACATTCACATTAATCATAGAAATAGCTAAAATCATGTAATTAAATAATAAACAAATATTTGCAACACTTACACTTAGCACTGTAAGCTTGTGTTATGAGATACGAGGGTAACGGACAGAATACATACTGTACATATAAGCATAATTATACAGAAACACATATAATTAACATCCATGACTGGAGTACAAATGCTTGTATTCTTCGCACAAACATCTGCTCCCACCGGGATTCGAACTCGGGACCTCTCGAGGTGGCGACACCATGCAATCAGGCGTACAAACCACTCGGCCACGAAGGTCGTCATTAAATCAATATTTTTAATAAATTAATATTGCTTACTAGCGGCCGCCCGCGACTTCGTACGCGTGGAGTTAGTTATAGAATCCATGCAGTACTTTTTGAGTTTATCCCGGACATACATACAGACAAAATTCTAAAAACTATATTTTTGGCTTCGGTATCGATTGTAGATCACACCCCAAGTATTCTTTAAAAAATATTCAATGTACAGTTTTGACTTTCCTACCATTTTATTATATGTATAGATTACCATAGTAGGCATTTATGATTCAAATTGAAAACCGAGCGTGTCACATTATAAGTACTCACAAGAACAAATTAGTTGCGGAAAGCAGTATAATACTATCATTGATTTTTATGGCACAATTAATATTTTTTTTAATTACGATTGGCGTCCGTATTTGAAAACGGCAAAAAAATGCGTCAAAAGAAGAGCTTATTTCGATTATTCCTGTTTTCATCTATGGTAACAAAACCTACCGATTGTCTACTTAAAATGCGTTAGACGGTGTGCCCAATGCAAAGTGACCCAATTCAATATCATTATTATTATATTTTTGTAGGACACAAACTAATAAAATATGTTACCAAAGGGCATCTATCACAGGCCGTCGCATAGGAAGCAACGAGAATAGGCCGTATAACGAACTAGCTAAAGTGGAATTTACAACGTCTCTTCTCCGTTATTCCGTGCATGCCCTAGCCGATGATAAAACCCATTTTCGTACTGTGTTTGATAGATATTATTCGTCCTTTCTACACTGATAACGCTATCTTGAACCATTCAATTGATTCAATCAAACAGAATTGACCGAAGCGAACTCTAACTCTCGCTTGCTAGTCTATCACATCTATATATTACCACATCTCATTTACTTTTCTTATAATAGACCAACCCTGGATAAAGACAATGTATTCAAATAACGATAAAGTATAATTCGTAAACACAACGTTATCTTATCATTCACTAGTAAAAGTATCTCGTCGGCATACGCACGCGTTCGCGGTTATCCATTGTTTTGTGATTCAAATGTGATAAAGCTTTAAATATTATAAGTAAAACATGGGAGAGGGTTCAGGTATCGATGAAATACAAAAGCTCAGGTAAGATTGTTTATATTAAATCATTATATTTACGAATTGTTCAGTTTTATTTTAAATGTACGAGTATATATTTTAAAATAGGCTAGCAGTAACAATAATGAATAATACATAAATGATAAAAAAATTAAATTCAATTACTTAAAGGTACTTAGACATCTGGTGGGACCTGAGGGTGGGACATGGTGGAATTACACGAATTTAAGCTTGAAAAATTTATTAGTCGCTAAAATAACTAATTTGATTTTCTAAAACGGTTTTCTTTAAATATTTATTAGCTTCAATTTTATATACCTATAGAATCTGAATTGGGAAAAAGTTTGGCGACCTAAACTGATGATAGTAAACATTTGAATTAATACCTAATTTTACAGATAATAAATTAAAAAACAAAAAAAATATGTTTGTACATATTTTTATCAGAAGATTTCCGTTTTTAAAATTACTAGTTATTGTTAAGAAAACACAATTGCATGCAGCGAATATATGTGCATACATAATTAAATAAAACTAGCTGACCCGGTCAACTTCATGCCACCAACAGGTTTTGTTTAATATTTTTTTTATAACAAAACTTGACCTAACAATTTTGAATACAATAAAGAAAATATCTAATTTGGTGCAGTCTTTCGAAAGTTATGTTCGTACATTTCGGCTATTCATTTCTTTTTATATATAAAACCTTACACTTGCAGACCGAGCCAAGTGGCAGTTGACAGATTAGCAGATAAACCAAACAATGCCACTAATAATAAAAAAAATCAAATATTTCTGGAGCCGGCTTTAGTGGGGGCAATGATGGCTATTAACTTGGGCCAGACATCTCTCCAGAACCTATATTTGAGGACTGCGTGCACAGTAGATTTAGGCAAAGACATCAGCATATGTAATCAAGGAGTAGGAGAAGAGTTTCGTGCTGCTGAAGTGAGTATCTGTCAACAGACAAATTTATTTTGGCAAAAAGTTGCTATAGGATAACAAGTCTCTCGGGGTTTCCATTGAAATCTGAGAGCAACATCTGTGCATTGGTGCAGGTATCCTTCACCATGCAGCTGCTAGTTTGGTAACCAAACTACGTTTGTCATTTTCTAATAATTAACAAGACAAGTAATTTCTGCTACATCTTATCATTGATATAATATCTATAATATTTCTTTATTTATCCTGTCAAACAGATGGTTCTTTGATAAACTGAATAGACAGAGCAGTTAATAAGTGTCGCTTAACCTATCTGCAGATAAAATGAATACGCACACCTATTGTCTGTAAATGTGTAAAACATAAGGACGTTTAAATAGCTGGAAACATGATAATGCCAACAGCATGCCAGATCTTAAATAACGGTTTATTTTTATTATTTTCATAATTGTTGGTGATTATGACTGCCCCTCATTACGTGATGATTCAGCATATGTCCGGGTTTACCCTTACCTGTCCTACATTATTCCGCCTATCGGCAGACTGCATCTCTAACCATGATAAACGAATAAATGAGATTCTTTGTCGTTTGATAATAATAACATTAGAGCTCTGTAATGTCTCTCTACGTATTCTTTGCCTATGCTCTCTTCAAAGTTTTGATTGGGTGTTTTCTAGTTTTTCCAAAATAGGCCGAATGCGAATTTCTTTTAGTCCAGTTAACGCACGGTAAAACCGGGAATACCTTGCAATTCTGCCAAACAGCACCAATTTATACCAAAATTCTGATTTGGGTTCTGCTTGCTCTTTACTTCAAATTTGTTAATGTGCCGAGAGTTGCTATTTCCCTGGGAGTGGATGCCGTCCCTTCCCTGTGATGATTTTTTTTATTAAAAACTAGCTGACCCGGCGTCCGTCCTACAGCTTAACCTTCCCTGGACTACGACAAACATTTCAAAACCAAAATCAGCTAAATTGACCCACCCGTTTACGTTTTAAGCGAGACAAACTAACCACAATTGATTTATATACATATAAGTATGGGAATGGATCATCATCAGCCTATTAATGTCCCCACTGCTAGGGCACAGGCCTTCCCTATGGATGGAATAGGGATATTGGGCCATGATCCACCACGCGGGCACAGTGCGTATTGGCGGGTGCTAACGACTGCAGATGCAGCCGGGACCAACGACTTAGCGTGCCTTCCGAAGCACGGAGGAACCCGAGATGAAGATTTTTGGTCACATGGATATATTTGACTAATTCTGAGCAACTTTTGTTCTTTAAAGTTTTTACTGAAAGTCAATTCCTTTCGAATCCTTCGAGAATGGAGTGGAGCAGTTTATCATAAACAACTCTGAAAATAAGTATTCTATGAAAAAAATTTTTAGCTTATAAAAAAAACAAAATACTAGGTTTATAATATCACTAGATCCGATACTAACGGAGTAACAGCTTGTTTAATGTTGGTTCTTCTTCGTCAAATGCCAGAATCGAAATTTTTATCGGGAAAAAATAATCCTGTTTCGGGGAATTCTCACGTTCTTTGTCAGTATTGTAAATTATACGTGTTTTTGATCACTGTAAAAATATGTGCTTGGGGTTTTTACCACAAATCTTTTAGTTTTTGAACCAGCAAGTTCAACAAAAACCATTTTGTAGGTCTTTCAAAAGCTATAGTTGATTTAAGCTATTTTTTTAGTTCTTGTTTTTCAAGTTTTTAGCTAATAGAACTTGAAATCGTTACTATTTGCGAACATATTATACAAACTTGAACCGGCCATATCTTACTCAATTTTTGCCAACCATAAATAGAAAAAAAGAAAACTAAATGTTTAAAAAGAAAAACCTACAATTATTATCTCTTCGAAGTTTTGCGTATTTTTTATATTTTTTGAATTATTTTTGAATAAAGTCAGTTTCTTGAAAAATTGCAAAAAAGCTCTTTTCACTTCAACCTTACTTTTTTCAAAACTAAGCTCTTTAAAACGATCAAACTTATACATATATTACAAGTACAAACATTAAGCACATTATAAAGTGATAATGATCATATTTTTCAATTGGGGTGATAATTAGGGAGTATTCAGATGTTTTTTATCGCCAAAAAGGGACCAATTTTGTTTTATCATAATAACTAGCTTAATTTTTATACTAGGAATTTTCATTATATAAAAAAGGTTTATACATATAAACCGGGTCTCCAGCAAAAGTTTTTTGAGAACATTCAACAAAAACACATAAACAAAACTTTGTTTCTGAAACAATTTTCTTTACACACACCGTGCTCACGTGGCTGTTGTACTTAAAATACACAGGGCTACGCTCAAAAATTACTATCCAGGTGCAACAAATGTCAAATTCGACGAAAGGTTAGAACATTTTATGCCAAAATTGAAACGTCAGAGTGAAAAGTTGTACTCGGAGCGGAGGTTTGGAACGGAGCCCCTGCTAGGGAGTTGTCATTAAAATGCCCGATGAAACAATACCCTGCCCCTCGACCCGCAAGGGGGGATTTGTGTACATGTTTTTCACCGGGCTCGGAAAACAAAATCATTTTTGATGCAAACAAATATGTGTAGGTAAACAAAGTTTTGTGTGAAAGATTTTGTTGAATGATGATTGTGTAGGGGAAAATACGCGCTGGGAACCCGGTTTAAGCACTTCAAAACAAGTTCTATGAGTTTGCTCCGATATATGCAGTTTTTTAAATATTTCACCTTAAAACTTTTCGATTTTGGCGTTTGACGATGAATAACCAACTTTCAACAAATATTACTCTAACTTATTGACAGAAAAGTGGTTTGGCCAGGTTAACTTCATCTTATTCTCTCCTTTAAAACTCATTCAACACACTTTCTATCTCGTCTTCCTTACTCCTCACAATGTTATTGATCGGTCCTCCACTTTCTCTGCTTCCCCACCCATATAATCGGGAGGTCGATGGCTGCATCTCGACGCGGCCTTGGATTCCGATGAGGCCATTCCAGCACCAACTTTTTTTTTAAATAATTTAGTTAACAACCGATTTTAAAAAATAACATTATTTTCAGGCTGAAAGTCAAATCGTGGTAGCCAGTATAAACATAAGTCGGAGTTTCATTGGATCACTGATATCTACAGTGGTCCTTCTATTCGTGGGACCTTGGAGTGACTGTAGCGGGCGAAGGAAGCCCCTTTTGATCATGCCTCTGGTTGGCATGAGCGTCATGACGACTGGAGTACTCCTGATGCTTATATTCCCCGGGGCAAACACTGCTCAAGTTCTCTATATGGTGCAGATTCCAATATCCCTTGGTGGGAATTTCGGACTCCTATTAGCCGCAGCATTCAGTCATATAGGCGATGTAAGTTACCATTATTCTACCACTCTCTGCTTAATTTTTTTCTCTCCAGAAACTTACGACTGTGGAGCATCTATTAAATTTAAAATTTTAACACGAAAGACGCAGAGCATAGCAGATTTGCATCAGAGCATACACCTTTTAGAAGATCATTTTAAAATAACACTGCTTTTTGGTGTTTTTGTGTTTCTGTGAGTGAGTGAGGTTCCATGTGGCAAGAGCAACCAGCCAATGTCACTCTGGTATCGTAATCAATCATCGTCGTCGTCGCTCAAAAATCGTCTATGGCTCAAAATAGTACAGAAGAGATGAGATACAGTAACAGATGTCGCTGTAGTCCGCTGAATCGCGTTGGTATTGCATTGTTTCTACTTTGACTTTAGGTATTGTAGATCAAATAGGTAATTAAGGGTGTAGTCCGTAATATATACCAGTATTCTGGTCAGTGCTAATGACGTCCTGAATCGACGCTGTACTGCTGTTCCGAATTATATTGGCCAGTGCACTGACGTCATAAATCGAAGAAATATTAAAAATAGTGCGAATAAAGATTTTTTATTCACCTCATCAATAAGAAGTCATTCTTTTTGTTCCGATGCCATTATTATTCTTTAAATAAAAAAGAAATAAAATTCGAATGCATCTCACGCACGCTCGGTCATACGTCATATATGTTTTTCCGATAAAAATATGGTAGCATACCAGTACAATATGGCGTCGGAATCGTGACGTCATTACCACTGGCCAGTAAACTGTTGTATATTTCGGAATACACCCATATTTGATTTGATAAACCATCCAATTTCTGAAGTAACCGCTTGCACTTTTTGGGACTAAGCTAATTCGAAACCAAAACTTTACACAGTATTAAATACGAAGTAAGTAAAGTTAAGCTATTATGTCGTAGGATAACGAGGAAACAACCAGGGATTTCACGATCAAGGAATGAGTAAACAAATCAGGGATTTCACGAATCATGCGCTAAGTACAAGTCTAAGCTAAAAAATATTTTATTGAACAAAAGCCCGTTAATCTTTGCTTGTAAACTATTGATTTTGAATTACAGAACTGTCAATGTAGTAGCTTGCTGATGTTTCATTGTGGTTAGGTACTTTCACAAAGCTGTAGCAACTTATCTATGCCAGATAAACCATTAAGGTTTTAGGCATGGAATATAAATAATTTAATTGTGTAGTTAAAACTTGGATCGACTTCTCAGTAACACTATTCATTTAGTCTTTGATTTACATAAATACGACCACATTTCTGAGTTCCGCAATAGACTTAAGTGGCTCCCTATTTAAAATAAATCCCCTAGGGACACCACGGTAAATGACGAATATTTTTGTTTATTACGTCTTCTTTCTGAAAATGTTAAGTGATGCCAACGGATGTGAAACAAAAATATTTGTCACCTTTTTAACATAATAAAATGCATAAAATCCGTTGCATAGTTAATAACATGCTCTACGCGTATAAGCAAAGGAAGCGACTTTGTTTAATACTATTTAGAGATTTTTTAATTTCAGGTTTGTCACGCGACAGGGCGTGACGTGACGCGCACCATGGGTACACACCGCGCCGCGATACAGGTGGCCCACGTGTTGGGTGCAGTCAGTGGACCTCTACTCTACCGGCACCTCGGATTCTACGGTGTGTTTCCCCTTGTTTTATCGCTGCAGGTATTAGCTCTAATTACTTCTTATCAGACTAATTCGATGCTCAATTTTTTTAGGTCTTCTTTTGTTTCTCAAACATTTGCACGAAAAGTACCCTTAGCACGAACCAATATCAAATTCGTAACGTTTGCGAGTCCAAAATGTCATTGTTAAATGTGTACTGATTTTTTGTTCTCGTTAAGTAATTTGTAGCGCTGCTGTTCACGTTTCCATTCAAAATTTGACATTGACATTTCGCACTGGCCAACGATTTGAATTCGATAATGGTTCGTGCTAGGGATACAGAACCATGTAGTTTACTTAGGCCAAGTTGTTTCATCCATACAATCAAGTCAAATACACGGTAGTAATTTAGTGTGTCACATTTTCACAAATGGTCATTGTTTTTTACCCGACTGCGCAATGCAAAAGCGCGAAGCGCGGCGCGCAGACAGGGTATAGTGTTTAACAGTCTATATTATGTATGTATGTTCCTTTGTGGCACACTAGAGACCAAACGCGTGGACCGATTTTAATGATTCATACATCAATCGATTCGTCTCAATCATGGGAGTGCTACTAAAGATATGATAGTAATCAAAATTCAATATGGGCAAAATCTGGCGCCATATTGTGACGAAGTAAAAAAAATAAGTTGACAAAATATGTCGAGTGGGGTATCACTGTCTAGATAATCAAAAATCATGTTAAGTTTCTGACACCATTTTTCATTTTATAGGATTGTTGAGGATCTACAACGCTTTAAAGTTGTATATTAACCGCTTTTAATTTCAATCTTACGTTTGTATGGATCTTTGTTACTCTTTCACCTAAAAATACTGAATGGATTTTAATGAAACTAATATAGCTCATATATGATAATAACATATAAATAATAATTTATGTAGTTATTGAGTGAATTGGCCAAAATATAACAATAAGTGTCACGTAAGAGGGAAAAAATCTCCCATCTGCGAGCCATTTTATCCTGCACTGCAAAAAAATAAAAGTTACAACATGAATGTAATGTAAAGTGAAAATGTATCTCTTAAATAGTTCTAAAAAAAAGTCCGTGACACCATATATCTATCTATTTTTAATGTGTAAGCCGTTACCGCTAAAATAGTGAATCAAAAATAAAATATTATATGAAATAAATTTCCAAATGCATATTTTGTATAAACAGATTATTTATTATTAAAACAAATACTTTTATCGATTTTGTTATTTTAAGACAATTACTCTGTAATTTATTAAACAAACATTTAAAAAGTTACAACGAGTACATACGAGTACGAGTATACTGCGGGAATGGTGGGAAAAGTGATGAAATTTGGTGTTTATAAATGTAGATACAACCTAGGAGGACAAGAAAAAAATGGGCTACTCGCAGTATCTAATACTATACGAAGTACTTACAATAAAACTGTGATAAAGTTCCCTGTTATTAAATGATGAAAAATAAATTATCGTAATAGGTATATATTTTTTTTAAATTTTATGGAAAAATTTAGAATTAAACGGTTTTTAAAAGTTTATTTTAACGATATTACTTCATGTTACTAAAGGGTTGCTTAACATAATGAGAAATAACCTATTCTTCGCTAGTAGGTACATACCTAATAGACTACCTGTCTTAATTAATCAGCTCGCGACAATGTTGGTTTTGTAATTATAAACGATAATTCTGCAAAATTCGTAACAGTATTGTATTGTATTATTTATACAAAGTTTTATAGATAAATCACCCCTCCCATCACCCTACCCCTATACATATTTCGATAATGTAGCTTAGAACCAAGGTCCCATCAATTTCTATAGGGAAATTCATCATAATCGATTTAGCTATACATGAGCGTAACAAACATACTCACTCTCGCAACTATAATATTATATTATACTAGCGGACCCGACAGACGTCGTCCTGTCTACACGTCTTTGAAAATTTCAAACTTTTTTTAATAAGCTAAAACATTCTGGACCATTTTGATGAAAATTATTATTCAAATGTTATGACAATATGTATATAATACGCCATTACATGTAAATTTATTACAATTAGACTAATCGATAGCGTGTGAGTATGTGTAATCAAATCTTCAACTTGTTTTAATTATAGGTAAAAAAGCTTACACTCAAACTATTTTATTTAAAAAATATATTTTTTTATTTACAAAAACTTAATTTATCGTAATGCCATTGGATGTACAATATTTTTGGTTAAACCCTGAGGTGTATAAATAAATAAATTCGATGGTTTTCCAACTCTGGAACACGCAACATAACGGTGCGCGTTCCCAATAGCACTTTGCCGCTAGATGGAGCTAGGGGCGTAAAATCGGTTTTTTTATTTTTTAAAACCTTTTAAAATTGAATATTATTTAATATTTGACACTGCGATGGTAGCGCCGTCTGTCGGATCCAATGTAAAACATTCCAAAATCAACAACTACTAATAAATTAAAAATTAATTAAAAAAACATTGTCCAGCGGACAAAATTGTGAATCTAAACCATTCACAGATCCCCTTGAACACACACAAAAAATTTCATCAAAATCGGTCCAGTCGTTTAAGAGAAGTGCAGTGACATACACACTCACAGAAGAATTATATATATAAAGACTAGTGATCCGCTCCAACATTGCACGGGCGAAATTTATTTTAACGGGATAGAATATAGCCTATGTCACTCGGATATAATGTAGTTATAAAGAAAAAAAATACTAACTAAAGGACATTGTTCAGCATCCATACATAGTTAGCCTAAGAACCAACAATCATGAAATATTATTTTCTAGGTTCAAAATCGTAAGTACATGACTGTAAAAACAAAGAATATTGACGGACACTTCTGAGAACTTTAATTATTAGGAAAACTAAAACTTTTTTGAGGTTATGTTTAATATTCAATGAAACATAGGTCAACCTATGAATTTAGTACGAACTCAGTATGAAGTGAATTAATATTACTACTAATTCATTTTATTCGGTGCGATTTTAAAGAATAACTATTAGGAAAATCTTGGTAAGGTAGGAATATGAATAAAATAAAAACTGTAGTTTTGCTTCTTATTTATTGACTATTTTTCACATAATTGTATCATATTGTTTATTGTATTTATTTGTATATCACATGTTTATTGTGTAAATATGCAGCGTGAATGTGTATCAGGTGTTTTTGAATAATTTGGCAGTATGATCCTCTCAGGATGTTGTGGCACAGGTTCACTAGCACTTGGTAATAAGGGCTCTGCTCTTTGGTAACATCGATGGCATATTAGATAGCCGAAATAGTTAAATTAAAGGAAAAACAATAGCAAATAAACACACACAACAGGTAATCCGAAACGAGAATGCACTTTCCGGTATATTATACTACTCTTTGGAATGCACGAATGCCATAGATTACTACGAATGCAAACTGCATGCACCACATGGCGCTGTAGTCCGCTGAATCGCGTTATTATTGTACGGTTCCAAGATTAACTTTAATTATTGTAGATCAACTAGGTGATTATAACATTCTTAATGACTGTATCTATCAGTTACAATTTTTGAAGTAACCACTTCCGATTTTTGGTTGTTGTTGTTGGTTGCGTTTGTGCTATTTCTAACGTAAAAGTTATCAGAAAACCCCTGTATTATTATCGTAATGTGTAGTGTTACTTTCATCAAATATTATCTGTGACTGCGAAATTTCAACATGCATGATGATTTATAAATACTTACCTTTATGTATGACAAGATATACTATAAGTAACACACTAGTCACACTACGATTATTATTCTTTACAAACTTTAAAGTGTGGTATCCAACTTTAAGTACTTAAAGTTACATATTTACTTATTTAACTCACTAACATTCGGATAATCCTATAAAAAATCTTATTCAACTATACCAAAAAAATAAGACGGAATCAAGGTAGTATAGCGAATTTCCTTATATAACACACCCTTAGATCTTTTGCCGCACCAATGGTACCCTGCAATAAGCAATGGTATCAGGCAGATGATATTCTATGTAGGTATCATAAATATTGTGAAAAATGCCTAAAAACTGTAAGTAACTAAATATTATGTTATTTTCTAATTGAGCATCAGAAAAAGTCTATTTAATAAAAAGGCTTCTGCTTAAAAACTTTGCAAATTCATACCAAATTACGCAAATGTGTATATACCTACTGAAGATGAAATAAATCTCTTTACTCAGCTCTCATCGTTGGCCTACGTGATTTGGTCTGTCAAAGACGTGAACGTAAATAAAGAGAACACTGTATCAGCATTCCATTGGCGTCTGCCCATCAACGCAGTCAAATGCTTGCTCCGAAGAAGAGACGGCTACAAAAGGACAATTATATTACTCATGCTGGTAGTCGCTTTAGGAGATAGAATGTTTCTATCAGGTAATTTTCATTCATTTTTAAGATTAAGATGCTGTTAGTTATTGTGGTGGTTCACTTTCAGGAAATAAGCTTTCCCACTATAGATTCAGTCCAGCTCCAATATTAAGAGCGGACGCGAGCTGAAAGACATTTGCGAAATAGGTATTTCAAAAAACTATTGGTGTCACGCATTAGCAAAAACCGTACTATAGGGACAACAGTAGTTAACGCTAAAATTGCATATAAAAATCGCAAAATTCGAGGTTTGGCTCTCGACGATTTCCTCGTCCAAAATAAGATACATGTAAAAGAAATTTTACCCGTAGTAAAATAATAAGTAGTTATACTATGCCTCTATGTTTAGTTTTTTTTGTAAATCCTCATTAAATCTTTACACTAGACGTCTTTAATAATGATAATTTTATTTTTACTTTTGGCATTTTTTAGCCGTTCTAGTTTCTTAGAAACACAAGTTATCGAAAAAAGGAAGACATAAGCATAGAATGAGTGAAATTATATTTCATACCTATATGATATGAAATTCAATACTTTAGTGATAAAACTCAAAGAGTCGAGAACGTTTGTATAGAAAAAAAGAGCTTCAAATAATCTGTATATGAAATACAACATACCTATTTTATTTTACTGTGTCGCGCATAAGAAGGCTTAAGGCCACTCAGCGAGCAATGGAAAGAGCGATACTCGATATTTTCCTACGCGATAGATTCAGAAATGAAGTAGGCAATCCTTAGGTAAACTAAAGCAACCGATATTGCTCTAATAATAGGCTACTTGACACTTTTTGGAAATATGTTTTGAATGGTTAATAATTGTTCTATTAGACCGAAAAAAATGTATTGTATTATTTTGACCTAGAAAGCTAAAAAACTCTAATTTTAAAATAGATTTTTCATGGGCATACAAAAACGCTGTCGGCCATTTTCGTCTATAGATTATCTATGCTATGACGTCAACAAAATCGTAAACAAACACTCGGAAGCACGTAGGAAATAACCTGAATCTAAAGGGGTTTGGGTAAAAGTGGCTTGATTTTCAAAGTCTGCGGCCACGAATGCTTTATTTTTTAATGAATAGAACTAAAAAAAGTAAAAATAAAATATTAAGGCCATATATCTGTAAAGGACATCGAAGCCAAGATATGATTTTTTTAAAATAGAATAATCATAAATTCATATCATTAAATCTTATGTGCTTTTTTGTATGAATTGTTGTCTAAAACATACCATTTAAGTTAATAACGGTTTATCAGACCCTTTTTTGTCTGGTTTGACCGCCTCAGCCAATCACATCAGTCTTTGGATATTCCACTTAGGTCTCATAGTGTATATCCCTCGGGATCCCCACGGGCAGGGTCATGGGACGGGCGCAGCCAGGGCGCACACTCGTCCTCTCCTGCCCGCTCTTCTTCGTCGGGAGGGAGCGGCCAGGGGATTATGCTCCCGCTCCCTCTCGGCTGCCTCATTCTACGAGAAGACGTTCTTGCTGAAGGAGGCAGCCGCCTGCCATGCCGTCTCGCTACTGAGTATGGCCTCTACCATGCTCCTCAGCGAGAGGGTTCCGCCTCCCAGCGCAGCGATTAGGTCGCAGCGCTGCTGTAGTCAGGCCGAGCACTCCAACAAGGTGTGCTCGGTCCTTCCATCCGGGGCGCCGCAGTGATGGCACTGTGGCGTTTCTTCCCGGTGGGCGATACGGTACAGGTAGTAACCGAAGCATCCGTGTCCGGTCAGTATCCGACCGACGCCAGGCGAACCGCCTCCTCTACCAACTTTGCCTTCGCCGCCACCAACGTGTCGTCGGCGAAGCAGACAACATCCGTGCTGAGAAGAAGGCTGCCTCGCAACACCCAGTCGTACCCCAGGTTCCAGAGCAGTGGACACAGCACTGAACCCTGGGGTACCCCTGCGGCCATGGCCCGAGAGCATACGCTTCAATCGGGCCCCTCGTAGAAGTCTGACCTCCCCTGCAGGTAGTCCTCCACGATGGCTTGCAGATATAATAATAATAATAATATTAATAATAATAATAATAATAATAATAATAACTTTATTTGGAACAAGTGCAATGTACAAAATTATGAATCGTTAAAACTGCTTTAGTTTTACAAAAACTGTGTTGCAGAATTAACGCCCATTCCCGGATATGGAGGCACGCAGTGAAAATGTAGTGCCTCCATAATACACTAGTGGGGGAGACTGCTCTCTTCTTCTTCTTTCAACGGGCGTTTCCGCAACTCGACGTCCTTATGGCGCCTGTTTTGCGTTAGGAGGGTGTATAGCCGGAATCACTTCAGCCAGCCCAGCTTCATCAGGAACGCCCCCAGGGCCTTCACATTTGTGACTGCCTCTTGGAGGTTTCCCGGTGACCCGAGGTATTTCGCCCGGTATTCGGCCACTTCGTTGCATTCCAGCAGAACGTGAGTAGCTGTTACTTCTGCCTCCATGCATCCTTTGCATAGAGGGTTGTCCGTGATACCTAAGTTAAAAAGATGTCTGTTAAAATGAGCATGTCCGGTAATAGCACCTGTTACCATGCGCAATGTAGGTTTGCTTAGCTGTAGAAGAGTTTTGGAGAGGACAGCGTTCAGCCGCGGCAAAGCGAGCTTGGTCTGCCTGCACGTCTTCAGATCGAGCCAGTGTTGCTCCTGTAGTGAGGCTGTGTGCACGCAGATTTTATTTACGAGACAGCTTACTGGTATCGGGACGATTGGTTCGGGACCTGTTGGGGTCGAATCGGACCCCTTCCGGGCTAGCTCATCCGCAGCGTCGTTTCTGCGTGATCCACTGTGTCCCTTTATCTTTTGGATAGTAATAGAATTGCTTTACCGTACCGTGTTTAGGGTTTGGTGGCATTCTTGCAGGAGGCTCGATTTGACTAAACAGGCATCTAAAGCTTGTAGGACTGATTTGCTTTCGGACAGTATTCGTATTTCCTGTTCTGTTGCCTTTCTTGAAAAGATCGCTCTTGCCGCCAGTATGATGCCCATACATTCAGCTTGAAAAACTGTGTTGTACGGGCTTAAGGGGAAAGCGATATGTATATTGAGGTCCTCAGAGAAAACACCCGCGCCCGTGCCCGATGAGGTTTTAGAGCTGTCGGTATAGATCATGAGAGCCTTGTATGATACCTTGGGATCGTTGTCATCCAGTAGATGTATACTGTACTTTTTGTCAAATATGAAGGCAGGTATTATTTTGGGGGTAAGACTGTTAAAGGCGTTACGGATGTCTAGCTACACCGCAATAGCAGTCTCTCCCCGACGAGTGGCCGCCTCGGTCCACCCCTTCAAAAGGGCCACCACCTGCACCGTGGACCGGTTTCGCCGCAACCCGAACTGGTGCTCTGCCAGATATGGGTCCGGCTCCCTCAGGTGCACGATGATACGCCCCGCCAGAATTCTTTCAAAGAACTTCCCAGCGTCATCGAGCACCAATTCTACCGCGGCCCAGGTAGGTACTCTAGGTACTCTAGATCAAGTTTTTGATCTGTTTCTTTTTTTTCATTAATGTTAGCTTTAAGAAAGCGTTACCACAATACTAAACATGTATAATAATCTCAGGAGATAATTTAATGAGCTTTTATATCATATGACTTTTGTTAGAATTCAAGATCAAATATCTTGGTTCCGATATAAGTTATGGAAATACTATTTTGCTAAGAACAATTCACATATATAGTACTATCAAACAATCATAATAAGTTCAGTGGCCGCTGAAAAAAAAAATCAAGCCAACCTCCATACAAAATTACCTTTATATTATAAAACCATTATTTCTAATAGATTTCATGATAAATATAATAATTATCATGATTGTATTATACGAGAATGTAGAAACGCATCGTTAAAGACTCCAGAAAAGTTGTGGTTTAAATTGCCTAGAGAAATACACATACCTAACATGAACACAGTTATGTTTAAAACTTGCTAAATCCTGTAATTTTACCGTCTGAAAGTCTTTTCTTTTAGCATAGATCACTTTAATGTAAGTACTCATTGAATAATATTTAAAGTTTAAAAATACAACTTTTAAGGTTATAAATGTATCTACTAAGTCAGAGTTTTGTCGTTTCTGCTTTCACAAATCCGGCGTCCAGCATTAATTTAGTCTACAAAACCAATAAACGGTTTTTTTCCAGGTTGTAAAAGTTTGTAGATGTATTTTAGCCCAACGAAAGACAGCACAGTAACACGACAATAACGTTTAGTTGTTTATTAATTTGTTGACGTCACAATCATGGTGGACAGCGTTTTGAGTTTTTAAAAAGCATAGACTAAAAAACCATTTTTCAAATTAAATTACTACAGCCATCTTCTAATTTTATGAGAAATCGATGTATTTAGGTTCCTCATACCAAACATTATAAGAAATAAACATTTGTATAGTGCAATTTGACATGAGTCAACTAGCCTATTGCTTTGCTGAAGTACCCCACCTCAGGAACACGTAGCGAGAAGAACCGATGGCTGTACAAGCGAAAAGGTTCTTGAATGGCGACCACGCACCGGACGATGCTCAGTGGGCAACCCTCCACCAGATGGACTAACAATCTTGTGAAAGTCGAAGGAAGCCGCTGGATGCGAGTGGCGCAGAACCGATCAGTGTGGAGATACTTGGGGGAGGCCTATACCCAGCAGTGGGCGTTGTACAGCTGTTATGATGATAACTTACTGTAGCTTTTTTTGTTTACTTGTTTTCTTATTGTGATATTTGGATTTATGGGGTAATTTTAAGTATTATATTTCCTCTTGTCTAGTCCATAGTTTTGTTGTGTATGTTGTGTTGTCAACAAATAAATTTTATGAAAATATTTGCACCTGGTGTGTAGTAATACGTTTTACTTTTACTGCCGGTCCAGAATGATTATGATTTAGCGTACAAAAAACATCATTATTATTGGCCTCCTATGTTCCCAACTTATATAGGGTTCTTCTGCTCTTCCAATCTTCCGGATCAGTCATCATCTCAACATTCAGTCAGTATAAGGTAAAAAAACCTTATAACTAATCACGAAACTCCTCTCATATCTCCTCCTATCTCCTTCTAGGCTAACCCAGGATATTTTTATTGCTTTAATTACTTTAATACAATAATTATTAGAATTCATGAATAACTCAAATGAGTTAGAATCGTACCTTGCCCTGCCAATGAAACTGCTCTAGCAATTTAATCCGAATTAAGAATCCTGTAGAACACACAAATTTTAACGCGAAAGTAATGTCTCAAAACCTCTAGTTTTGTATAATTTTGTTACTTAGAATAATATATAAATTAACTGTGCCAGTTTTCAAACTAATTTTAGAACCTTTTAATATTGAATATTTCATTTACAGCGGAGGTGCTTTTGGCATATATGTATTACAGATACAAGTTTCACTGGGATGACGTCATGTTTGGAAGTTTCCTAGCCTATAGAAACATTATAAGTTTTCTTGGTGAGAAGATGATATTATTATTACTTAACTTAACGGAATAATATTATAATTTAAATACAGTATACGACATCAGTATTTCTATGTAAAATGTTAGAATTTTAATAGAAATAGAATCTGATTTTGATATGATTTTACTTGAAATTCGTTTGAAGAAAGTTTGTGCAAGTGGCCTTATGACTAAAATTTCATACCGACCAAGGCAAAGTTCGCTAAGATTAATGATTTACCATTTCATTACAAAATTCAAAATTTAATTATTATGTTGTGTTCAAATCACCCAACCACAGTAGGTTTGATTACAAAATTCAAAATTTAATTATTATGTTGTTTTCAAATCCCAGCAAATCACTCAACCACAGTAGATATCAACTGAAGCTTTTCATCTTTTATTTATTACTTTTTAATATTTTAGTTGTTACCATATTCTCCGGGGATTCGGGGTCTGCTACCGTTCATTTACTGCTATAAAGAAATAAAATTATTAAACATAATTTCAATCCTTGCTACTACCAGAATTCCCCCTAAAGAAAAGTAAAGAAGAATTTATCCAAGCTAGAAAGGAAAAGATAGTTGATGTGGCAGTTAGTTTTTGGTTTCTATCACCACTTAAAGTGGGTGATAGAAAAATACTATACTTACTTTCTATCACTTTCTTACCTAACTATAAAGACAAAATTCTTTCAGGTACACTGCTCATATTGATGGTGTTGAAGCGAATATTCAAACTGTCCGATGAAATAGTCGGCGCACTCAGCTGTTTCTCGTACGTGTTGGCTCAGTCTGGACTGGTTATCGCAAGCACTACGCTCTTCGTCTTCTTCAGTACGTATACCTACACCTAAGAGCTCGATGGCGCAGGTGGTTAGCGCATTCGGCCTGCAGTCGTGAAAGTTAACCAACTTTTGCAATATCTAATATGCTCCTCCGTATTTCGGAAGGCACGTTAAGCCGTTGGTCCCGGCTGCATCTGCAGTCGTTAGCACCCACCAATCCGCACTGAGCCCACGTGGTGAGTCACGGCCCAGTCTCCCTATTCTATCCATAGGGAAGGTCTGTGCCCCAGCAGTGGGGACATTAAATAGGATGATGATGACACCTACACATTACGAAAGAGGTAAATAGAGAATAGCTGGCACCGTAGACAAATGGCCATCTTTCTATTCGAGCTAAAGACTAAAAGGTGAAGCGTTAAACTTTAAGCTTATGTATTGCAAGCTTTTCGTATACTTAAAGCTTACGACAAGTAATTGCATCGTTTATTGCTTAATGTTAAACCAAATGGCTAGCGTTTTCGTGTAAACTTAAAGAAACAATGCTATTTGTCTAAACACACAGGTTTGTTGTAAGAGTTGGAGGGCGAATTTTGCAGAATTCATCCCAGGATTCCCAGGTACTCACAAATATCTGTAGTTTTGTGGTCCCCGGGAAATTATGGATATAAAATTCAGATCACGATATGGATACGAATAGTAACGGAATCCTACTTCCAACTTAATATTATAAATGTAAAAGTTTGTGTTCGATACTCAATCTTGACTCAATAACGCAAAAACGACTGAACGGATTTGGATGAAATTTTACACACAGGCAGTTTATAAACTGGTAAAAGACATAGAATACTTTTTATCCTGGAACAGTGTTAGTATCCTGATGAATTCGTAAAAAACTAAAGTTAACGGGGACGAAATCGCTGGAGGCCGCCGCTTATAATGTGACAAATGTTTTATCAACGCAATTACTCCAAATCACCTGAAATTAAGTGTAATTGCGGTCGAGTCGCTAAGATAGCTGATACAGCAGAAAAGTGTGCTGCTCCAGCCATTCTCAACTTGCCCGGCAAAGCCTTAATATCTCATACCTTCGACTTTACTCTGTGAGCACTTTACTCACCAACAGAAACACAACACCAACATGACATTAGTATTATATTTCTAGATTTGATTAAAATTTTCAAAATTAAATTATTATGTTGTTTAAATCTAAAGAAATTTTACTAAAAAAAAATCCACGCGGACCAGGCAGCGGACGGGACTCGAACCCGCATCCTTCGCTATCCGGGCGAATGCACTGACCATTATGCTACCACGGCCCTATTAGCCGCGTCGAAATTTTCCTAGCCTTAAGCTGCAAGGCAGCGCCATCTCTTCGCATTGTAGGTAACCCACAATGTCAAACGAATACTTTTTCAAGTATTAAACATTTGAAAGAAGAAATAGCAATTATAGTTATGATTTTATTTATTTTCTAAGCATTTAACTGCTAAATGTTTAAATCTAAAGAAAATTTACTAGAAAATAAATTTACTAGAAATTTACTTAAAAAATAAATAAAATCATAACTATAATTGCTATTTCTTCTTTCAAATGTTTAATACTTGAAAAAGTATTCGTTTGACATTGTTTTTATATTAGTATTATATTTCTACTGAAAATTGGATATTTTCCCGCAAAAGAATTACCTAGTTACTGGTGAAAAATTCCAAGCCACAGAACACAGAAAGAGGTTAGAGGGGCCTAGTGCAAATGAGAAAATGCTCATAACTTGACCGAAGCTTGTGATGGTGTCGTTTGCCGTTCATCGTTGCTCTCGGGTGATGATTCGTTCGTTTGTTTGGTGTCCCGCCGTTTGATTGACTTGTAGACTATTAAATAGGTGACTAGTGGCCCGCCCTCGCTTCGCTTCGGTATTTTATCCCTTTGGGGGTAGAATTGATCAAAATCCTTTCTTAGCGGATGCCTACGTCATAACATCTACCTGCATGCCAAATTTCAGCCCGATCCGTCCAGTGGTTTGGGCTGTGCGTTGATAGATCACTATGTCAGTCAATCATCTTTGAGTTTTATATATATAGAAGGTGTAGTGGGGGCGAGCCGGTGACATCGGTTCCCATACATACGGTCCATAAACACTCTTCTAACCTCTTGTTGTGTTCTGTGTTCCAAGCGTTACTGCGTTCTGTGTCCCAGTATTAGGGACATTAATAGGCTGTTGATAATGATGATGATATACTCATTTGTTTTTTCAGTTCCATTGATCGGAATCATATCGCAAGGTTCACAAGTCGTACAACGGCCTATACTCAACAAACAGATACTGCCCACTGAACAAGGTACGTTTCTATCAAATACCTCTATTTTATCTCCGTATTCCATAGAGCCATGGGGAAGGCCTCTGCCCCAGCAGTAAGTACATTAATAGGCTGACGATCTATGAATGAAGTAGTAATAATGAAATATGAATGAAGAAGTAGTAGTAATAGCAGTAGTAATGCCAAGATAAAACTAAGCAGTTAAATGCTTAAAAAAAAACATAACTAAAACTAAGCAATTAATAAAAGACAATGAAGAGTAAACCGTAACTAAACCAATACAAATATTTTTTAAGAGGCAGCAGCTTCGATCAGCTATTCTATAAATAACGCTTACTTGAGGCGATATCTTATTTTTAATTAGTTCGGTTAATACAAAACGGCGTAACTCGCTGGCCAATTACTGGTAAAATTATTTTATTTTATGGATCATAAGGTTGATTTCACATTTTCCTTTTTTCGCCTTTATTATTTTTTTCCAAGTATCAGACATAATTTATAAAACGGACAACACTTTGTTTTACAAGATAAAAAGTCGTATGTGCGGAATAACATTTTGTTATTTGTGTGAGAGGTTCAACTTAATCTGTTTTAAAACATTTATCTTTGTTCATTGGGAATCGAATGTAGCAGCACGAGTGTGTGTGTATAACGGGTTGCATCCCGTTATTTATACAATTGTTGATCGAAGGGTAACAGTCAGATAAATGCACATTTTATAAGCAAATGTGAAAAACTTGAAAAATGTACCAACATTTATATGTAATTGAAAGTTCTTAATAAATTCCTGCCTTTTGTATTCCATTAAAAATAAATCCGATCTGTTATTGCTAAAAAATGAATAATATATAACTATACTTATGCACCTAAATGTAAGATAAGGTAAGATGTTAACTCGCGGCTTAATTTTGTTCTATTAAATACGACAGTCTCACTTATTCATTACATTTTTTGGTTTATCCACATTTGATTATAATTAAAGTATTTACATAAAAACGGAAAAAACATTTGATTCCTATCGGATTAATAGTACTAATTAGATTCGTTTCCGCGAAAACATTGTTTAAACTTATATAACTAGTAATGACTAATATAATATCACAGGACGACGAACTGATAATGTGATATGATTAGATTTAATAGTTTTTCCGTGTCTATTTATATTTGTTTCTTAGTCTTTCGCTCACATCACTCATTAAATAAAACAAGTTTCAACGGGTTAGATGCACTGCTTTTATTTATTTATTGACGTTTCCTAAATCATTATTCTGACGACGCATTCCTGAAAAGGCTGCGAAACGTCAATAAATAAATAAAATCATTGCAGCTATCCCGTTGAAACTTGTTTTATTTAGTGTCTATTTATATTTCTGTATTTCTTTTTTCAGGAAAAATATACAGCGTGCTCGGCGCATTGGAGTGTGCAACACAAACTTTGTCGTCTCCGCTTTATTCACTTTTATATAGCAAAACGGTTAGCAGATATCCTGATGCATGGTTAATACCCGGAATATTTTTGGCTATATTGCAAATCCTGGCATATTTAAAAACTAGGCAGTTAGGACAGAAAACGGCAATACCCAATGAAGAAATAGCTAATGTTAAAAATATTCCGTTAGAAACATTACATAAGACTGAAGGAGAAAAACCTATTCTTAATAGTCTAAATAATGATGATGTAGTGCAAAAAGATTTAAGAGGAGATAAAACGTAGATATTGCTTGTTTTTAAGTTACTTTTAATAAATATATCATTAGGCAATTTTAATCTTACCAAGAAACGATAAGTAAAGTTAACTTGGACAGGGTTCAACACTGGATTGCTGTTGTTGACATTATTTCAGCAATAATGTTGTGTGCAATTATCATTGTCATCCATCCTACTCTAACCTTCACAATTTCAAACACCGCAGAGAATTGCCATGTCCTGACAGAAATAAGTTCACAATAGATCGAATGTTGATTTGTTTCTTCCACACCTGTGCGACGAAGCTTCGGGTGGATTTAAGTGTGTCAAAGATGACCAGTTCTAGCGTCTAAGGTCCACTTGTAGCAATTCGAATAAATCTTAATTTTAACTTAAACTAGATTCAGCCCATACAATGATGTTCAATTAACATGTCTAGTCTTAATTGAACCGAGATTCGCTTCAAGTGGGCCTGAAACGCAGCCCGATAATTATTGCGACAGAACTAATTCAAATTTAGAATGCAAATTTTAGCGCATCTTAGTACCAAAGCTTCATCGTGCAGGTGTAGAAAGAACGTACGTCTTCGAAATTCAAACTAGTACCGCAAAATCCTCAAGAGATACGGGAGGGGAAACTAGGAAAAATTGGATTTCTAATATTAATTTATCGTTTTCGTAGTAAAGCAAGTAGGTTTTCTATTGCCTTATTAAGAACGTCCTAGAAACAGGGTAAATATTTTATTATTGGTCTCGTTTAAAATAGATAAGAAAAAGATTATGTGATAAAAGCGTGCGGACTTGGTATTTACTGGATTGTTACCATGTACCATACAGTTGCTGAAATATCAGAAACTCGCTAAAACAATGTACAAGGTTGCAATCCCGTAAAAACATTCATCACTATAATGTTAGTGACCATGAAAGTTTGAAACAATATTTCGTTAATGTATGTTTACAATAAAAGTTTGAATAATAAAAAAAGGTGAAAAGTTTTGTTGTGTTATTATTTTCTTGTGTACATTTTATACTAACAGCTAATGAAAGTAATTTAGTAGAAAATTTTAAACTATCAATTGCAGTACAAGTTAGACAGATACACACAAATACGAAATCTCATAAAACAAACAAGTAAAAGTAACCAAGCCAAGCACCTAGCAGATAGGAGGCGGCTTAGGCCTGGACAGGAAGCTTGACAGCTCCGTAATCGTTATCGCATCGTCAAAATTTCTATAAAAACTAAGCGCAAACTCACTCAGATGCAACTTTTGCCATACAACTAACTCTAAACTAAACTAACTCTTCCATACAAAATTTGACGATCACGAAACGGTTACGGAGCTGTCAAAGTTTGTGCTTGGGCCTTCCGGTTATAATAAGATACTCCGTGCTTGGGCCTATGAATATCAATGTATATACCTATTTAAAAAAGTGATTTTCCATTAAAATAACTAAAGATATCTCCAACTCCACAAATTACTTCATAAGGCTTAGAACTCACGATGCGATTTTGACCCGCGGCCGCCGCGGCTGCGGGACCGCAACTCGCGTAGAATGTCAAATTATAGGTAAAATGCAAATCAAAATTGACGGCACAATTTGCACGGGCCCGCAAAGTGCGCGGATGTTTGCGGCATCCGCTGCGGTTACATACGGGACTCAATTTTTATGCGGGTCACCAAAACGCGCGTTCTGAATTCAAAGTCTGCGGCCCGCAAAGTCTGCGATCTTTTTCCGCGGTGGCTACGAGACTGAAAAAAACAGCGGTCTCGTGAGTTTTGAAATAAAACAGCTTTCCCGCTGCCGCACTAAGCGTGGGAAAACACTACGGCGAGTACTTAGCCTAAAACTACCAAAAGTTCAGGATAACAAATACATACAAAAACAAATGAAATGATAAAAACAGAGTATTGAAAGCAATTTACAATAAAACTTCACTTTTTAATAAAAGCTCACCGATTATTATATTCTGATTTTAATCATGAAATAGTAGTTTTATAAATTTAAAGAAAATTTTACTAGGAAAAATTCGACTCGGTTTACAATGAATGCCGAAACTCCAAATCCTCGATTATGAGCAAAAAAAGGTTTCACTCATTGTTATTACGAAAATTTACTGTAAAATTAAATTAAAACATGCAAAAAGAGAAATACCTAATCATTTAATAGTTTAAGTACTATTGCGATGATACTTATACTAGAAAATGCAAATGACTGTATCAATTGGTACTGTAGTAAGTTTGCCCCATTTCATCTGCACCATTTATGAATGGTGCAAGTTAATGGTGTATTCGTTACAACAGAATTCGTTTGCTTCATTAATGGTGCAAACAAAAGTAAACAGTTTCATCTGCATCATTAATGCTGCAAGTGACATTCGGTACAACGGGGTCTGATGTCTTGAATTGCGTATCGTTAGTCTCTACAATAGCCTTTAGGTTGCTCTTATCGGCTATAATTTTATAACAGCCATGTTGAATATTATTCAGATTGCTTTTTCTATAAAAGTTTAGGTACTAACGTAAATTAAGTCCTTAATTTACATACGTACGCAAAGATTATAAAATGTCACGTGAGTAAATACATCTTTGTTTTATTATCAAAATATCATTATCAGTACTGTTTAAATAATTGATAAAATGCTCTTTAAATCTATTGGTACTTATATTGCACGACTTAAGAACATGACTTCAATATAGAGATATATCACGAAGATAAAAAATATAAGGTATATGTATAATATATTTCAAAAATTGATAAAGCCCTTTAAAGTGCTTTGGTGTATTGCATTATTAAATGATTTGCGTTAATTATTATGCGCAATATTTTGATAAGATCATTAAAGTCAATCGATGACAAATATAACATCAAAACGCATCATACACTCGGGAGCAATGAATCCGGGTCACATAAAGAATCCGAAAAATCTCGCAAACTAAGAATGCTAGAATGCTTAATGAAATAAATTGTGTTTAATAGACAATTAAATATTTAGTGGCCACTAAACACAAACTCTAGCTGCGGACGAGATTTTTCATACATTTTGTATTGTATCGGCGCAAAATCAGCGTTTGAGTGGCCACATTCGAGCCAAAAGAGTTGAGTCGCTCAAGCTCGCTACTTGTCGCCGTGTTTTGTCGCTCGCATCGTCGCAGTACCACGATGAATTATATGTCGATGGTTTTGAATACGACGACATTTTCTACGTCGCAGAATCAGCAAAACGAAATCAATAATGTTTCCATTTGACAAACGCATTAGACCCATGAGTTTTACCCCGCTGCAAACTCTCGATGGAAATGAACGGATTTCAGCCAAAAGCCTCTAGCGGCTGCATTTGGATGTTGCGTCTAGTTGCTAAATATTCGGTTGCTCGAAAAGATATTATATTTATTTCATTACGATCTTCTCTAAGGAGGTGCGTTCCCCAGATGGGTGGGTGCTCCAATGTCACCGGGATATTTGTTTGTTTTTTGGCATTTGTAGATGTCAGTTTTATTAATTGTTGTTATAACAATTGTTGACTAGCTAAGGGCGATTTCAGACTAGCGTTTTTTTCAGCGCGTATACGGTCATTTAAATATACGCGCTTACAAGCGCGCTACATTACGTGCTTCAAAAAACCGGACTCGCATACACGGGCATAGTTCAACGTATTCACTCGAACTCGCGTTTATACGAGCTTACAAACGCGTCAACACTCGTAAGAGTTGAACGTATGGCAAAAGTTGCACCTATACGCGCTTTCAAATACGAACTTTTACGCGCGTATAAAACGCTAGCCTGAAACCGCCCTAGAGGCGGCAACGAAGCTAAAACTAACTAGTGTTACATTCTATATAAGTGATTGAAGCCACCAGTCAAGTAAAAAAAAACTATGACAGGTCACTCCACTCTTCCATAGCTAAAATTAGAGTTTGCTAATCCATTTTTTTTTTTTACAATAATGGTACTTCTAAATGTACTACGTCAAACAAAGGCAAATCTTTAGTTATTACATGTACATGGTTTTACCTACGCAATATAAAAACACTGTAGTTAAATATTTATGTAATTAAATAAATAAAAAATATTAAATAAATACAGTCTGTGTCATAATTCAATGGAGTTTTGTAGTTTATTACTTATTTTTTAAATTCATTAAGAAATAAATTACTAAACTAAGTTTGTCACGAGACGAGACTAAACAAATTATTACCTATCTATAGTGGTTTATGTGATTAAGAACTTTAATAAACAAGGAAAAGAAACTTATCAGAATAAACAAAATAACATTAATTTGTTTAAGATAACAATATAGGTATTAAAGGGGGGGGGGGGGGGGAGGGGGTACCGGCCATATTATCGATCAGTCATTTTCAAATTATGTTGACCATAAACTGAATGCATGTTCGTGAAAAATCTCAAAACCTACTAAACGGATTTTCGAGCACAAGCACTAGTGGTATAGTTTCACAATTACACAAAGTGAGGACGGCTAGTTTTATAATAGAATCATTTTGTTACTCTCAAGTTTCCACTCCTACCCTCCTGGTAAGATTGTCGCCTTGAGGGCAGTTGGAGTATACTTGCTCAATTTGTTTTGAATATGGTTTCTGGCTATTTTGGGACTTTTCTTTACACTTTTTTTTCATTCATCATCGACCTATGCTCGTCCACTGCTGGACATAGGTCTCCCCTAATGCACGCCACTTTTTTCTTTACACTTATTGTTAGTAAATTCGTTGCCTGTTTATTGTTAACAATTTGACACTATGTGATGAAAGTTGACTTCAATATATATTTGCAAGTTTCATGTCAGCTTTCAATTAGACGACACTGTATGATATAAAACAGGGAGAAAAAAGCAGCCGCTGCTGAGTTTCTTGCTGGTTCTTCCCAGTACAAGGTCTCCCGCCGTAGTTTTGCGAACCGGTAGTGAAGTTTTCGTCTTACACATGTGCTTGTAAAAGCCTAAACTGAATAAATGATTTTTGAATTTCGAATATACACTACAGGGTATAGCCCAAAAAAACATTTTCTTTTCTTAATTTTTTTATAGGAAAAAGGACTAAATAGTAATAGAAACCAATATTGTTTGAAACTTCACTGACATTACAGTGCTATATTTTTTGAGGGTGGTTTTTGTTGGTCGCAAATGACCTTTACAGCGTCACCGGGTTTGGGGACGGCGATATCCTAAGGGGATCTCAAGCAGAGAATTGGCGAGTGCTTTTAGAGGTATTCCAGGCAGATGGCATCTCCCCACGGGGGGAGTCTCCTCGCCGTCTGGAGCCTCTCCACGGCAGGGGTCTCCCGAGGTATTGCGTGGACCCCGCAGGCGTGCACTGCACAGGATAGCCCGCGCGTGGGGGCTGAATACGCGGCCTAGTGCCACCACCCCCCGTCCGCTGCGGAGGACTACTTGGGCGTGCCCGTGTAGCTCCCTTCGCCGCCCCCCTCTTTGCAGGACAGAACTACAAGAGGGGGGCTGCCGTCACAGGATCCCTCGGTGGATCGAGCTAGGGATGCCCGCGGGCAGGGTCATGGGACGAGCGCAGCCAAGGCACGCACTCGTCCTCTCCTGCCCGCTGTTATTCGGCGGAAGGGAGCGGCCAGGGGATCATCCTCCCGCTCCCTCTCGCTACAGAGCATGGCCTTTACCATGCTCCGCAGCGAGAGAGAACGTACTTTTACCTGGTAAAGCCTGTCGGTGTGTGTAGACTGGGTCTTCGCACTCTTATCCTACGGGTGCGGTGTCTGCCCAATGCTAAGCTAGTGTTGGTGCTTGTGGCCTGTGCGGGAGGAGTCGTAGGCGCGTTGGCGCGGGTGATTTCATCGTCGGGATACTCTAAGACGTGCCTAGCCCGACTGAATCGGAGAGACCTACGATTGGAGGACGGGAGGGCGGACGTATGACAGCTAGAGGCTTTGACTACTAGGGGGTT